AGTATACTTTCTCTGACACACTGAAATCCCCTTAGCTGATCGAGCAATCTCTAAGCCAAGAAAAAATCTCAGAGGGCCTAAGTCCTTAATCTTGAAAGCAGTGGCTAACACTCTCTTTAAAGCAGCTAAATCATCTGCATTATTACTAGCTATAGCGATGTCATCAACATAGACTAGCAGGGCAATGAAACCAGTAGGAGTGAACTTTAGGAATAAGGTAGTATCAGATTGAGACTGAATAAAACCATCTTTCAGAAGAACAGAGGTGAATAGACGATTCCATTGTCTTGAGGCCTGCTTAAGGCCATATATGGATTTATGCAATCTACAGACAGGATTTGGAGGAAGAGGATCATTGGTACCTGGAGTATACCCTTGAGGAAGACTCATATATATTTCTTCATCCAATTCACTGTGTAGAAAGGCATTAGAGACGTCCATTTGTGTTAACTCCCATCCTTTCTTAGCAGCTAAACTCAACATCAATTTAACACTTGTTAGTTTAGCTACTGGTGAGAAAGTTTCATTAAAATCAATACCCTCCTGTTGAGTAAAGCCCTTAGCAACCAAACGTGCCTTATACCTTTCAATGGTGCCATCTGAGTTATACTTTATTGTAAAAACCCATTTGCAGCCTACCACATTCTTCCCTGGTGGTAATGAAGTAATACTCCATGTTCTGTTTGCCTCCATAGCCTGAAGCTCTTCTCCAAGAGCATTTTTCCATACATCAGATCCCATAGCTTGCTTAAACGTCTTTGGTTCAGTTTCCATAGAATAGGATAAGATATAGGAACAATATGTGGGTTGAAAACGATGATAAGATAATACTGAAGATAAGGGATAAGGGGTAGTATGTTTAGGTAGTAAAGAAGTGAAAGATTGAGCAAGAGCACAGTGATACTCAGATAGGTAACCAGGTGCCTTAGTCTGTCGTTTTGGTCTCTCACTAGGCAAGGAAATCAAAGCAGTATCTGAAACTACAGGTTGTTTATCTCTAGACTTCCCAGTCAATGCAACAGATGATGATGATGAATGATTCTCAGTGTTAACAGCTTGAGATGATGATTCAGATATATTCACAGGAGAATCATGAGAAGAACTAACAGGTGTATGCATTGCAGGGTGAGAAATAGTTTCAGATGATGCAGGGGAATTCGATGATGATGCAATATCAATTGATTCAGGATGATATGGTATTGAAAGAGGTAAAATAACATGTGAAAAGAAATCCGGATTTAAGTTCTTTTTATCAGCAAATGGGAAAATATCCTCATGAAACACAATGTTTCTAGTTATAGAAATTGAATTAGAATCTAGATGAAGAACCTTATATCCCTTGTATCCGGATGGATATCCTAAAAATACACAAGAATAAGCTCTAGCACTAAATTTATTTCGATCTTTCTGTAAAGAACTAACATAGCACAAGCATCCAAATGACTTAAGAGCATGATAATCCGGTGTCTTTCCTAACAGTTTTTCATATGGTGAGACATCTTTCAATAAAGGTGAAGGTATTCTATTGATCAAGAAAACAGCAGTAAGAATGCAATCACTCCAGTAAATCAATGGTATGTTGGATTGAAATAATAATGCTCTAGCTACATTTAACAAATGCTGGTGCTTTCGCTCAACTACTGAGTTTTGTTGAGGAGTATAAGGACAAGAAAAGAAGTGAAACATACCATGTTCTTTGATTAAATCTGTGAAAGCCAATTCTGAAGCATTATCTGTTCTAATTGCTTTTATTTTCTTTTTATATTGAGTAGATACAAGTTTAATAAAAGTAGGAAAAACAACAGACACTTCACTTTTTGTTTTTAACATATAGACCCATGTTACCCTAGTACAATCATCAACTATAGTAAGAAAATACTTATATCCTTCAATAGACTCAACAGAAAAAGGCCCCCATATATCTAAATGAACCAAATCAAAAGGATTAGGACTCATATTATTTTTAAAAGGGAATGAAACACGTTTTTGTTTTGCTTTTGGACAAACAGGACAATGAATACAATCTGAAAAACTAGACTTAGGAAGAGAAAGAGTACCAGACATTACTTGTAACTTGGCAGTTGAGGGATGTCCTAGGCGTTGATGCCATAGATTCCCATCAGCTGTCAAGGATCCACAAAAGTTTATGGCAAGAGTAGATGATGCTGATGATGCAAGAGACTGTAGGTCAAGTATGTAAAGATTATTTAGCAGGTTACACCTCCCAATCATCAAGTCCTGAGTAGACTCCTGAATGAAACATGAAGTTGGATAAAAATGAGCTGAACAGTTTGAATCATTTAGCATGCTACTAACACTTATGAGATTAAAATGAAAAGAAGGAACATGCAGAACATTATAAAGAATCAATGAATCAGACAAATGTATAGTGCCTGTATGATGAATGGGAAGTCTAGTGCCATTTGGCAAAGCCACTGTAATACCAGATACTAAAAAGATTTCTTTGAATTTTGAGAGATCACAACAAACGTGACTAGTAGCACCACTGTCTACTATCCAAGAACCATGTGGAAGTGATTTTTGTAAAGAGGAAAAACAATGGTGTTGAAATGTGAGAGAGTGATTTTCATATCGAATATTAGAAGAGATAGTGAAAACTTTACCAGAAGACGATTCTGCAGCCATGAAACCATGTTCAGTAATAGAAGAATGATGAATTGGAGCTAGAGGCTCTGGAGAACTAACACTGACATGAGCCAACATCTGTGGTTCTGAGACTTTGACATGAGCATTCAACTGTTGAATAAGAGTTTGTGCCTGTTCTGTAGTCATCTGACTAACATTCAAACTCACTGGAGTAGCAGCTGGAGGTGGATAATATGGCATTGATTCAGAAAAACCATTAGTAACATTAGCAACAGTCCTCTGATGTTGAGTATTAGTATCAGTAGGACGAAACTGTGGTCTTGGAAATGCAGTGTTGGGTGCTCTTGGTATGAATGTAGCTCTGGCATTGACATTATTCTGAGTAGGAACAGGAAAGCCAGGCGGATAACCATGAACACGATAACACTTTTGTACAGTATGCCCCATCTTTCCACAATAAGTACACATAGGCCGATTGCTGCGTGGTCTATATGTGTTATAAGCTGCTACATACTCATTGGATTCAGCACCAAATGAGTTGTATCCTTCATTATAAGATCCTGTGGTCTGAAAAGCAACATTTTCAGACTTGATTACAGGCTTCACTAGTCTCTGTCTTTCATCTTGAGCTACAATATTGAATGCTTCTTCAATATTAGGAATCGGCTTTAACATAAGGATATGTCTCCTTGTTTGCTCATAAACTTCATTCAACCCCATCAAGAATTTAGTAACTCTGCCTCTTTGTTGCAGTTTCTCCCACAACATGGCTGCATTGCACTCACATTTTCCACAAGAACATACAGGAAGTTCAATATAGTTTTTATATTCCTCCCACAAAGTCACTAATTCTGTGTAATAAGCACTAACATCCATAGAACCTTGTTGAATAGTACTAAGACGTTGTTCTATTTCATATACACGCGGAGCATCATCTTGCTTAAAGCGAGTCATCAAATTGTTCCAAATTGATTCAGCCGTAGACATATACAATAAACTCTGTCCTATCTTCTTAGATACTGAATTCATCAACCAAGTAGTGACCATATCGTTGCATCGTGACCATGATCCAGCATCACGAGAATCAATAGAAGGTTTAGATATAGTACCGTCGATAAATCCCAGCTTGTTACGCACATTTAACGCCATCCGTATCGATCGTCTCCAAGAATGAAATTCAGCTCCAGTCGTTAAGCGATCCGTCACCAATTGCAATCCAGCATGATCGGTGTTATGGAGGTAGTACGGATTCTCATACTGATCAACATTTTGACGATTCTCAGTCATCGGAGGACGAAAAGTAGTTGTTGTATCACCGATTGGTGGAATATACGAGTTCGATCCCATTTGTAATGTAAAATCGAAGAATGATGGAAGAGATTGTTCCGAATTGATAATGTAAACAAAGATCGGAAACAATAAGGTCAAGAAACGAAAGAAAAACTCAGAAATCGCCGGCGAAACACGAATTGAAGAATCGCGACGGAGATGATACAACGATTGTGAAAGAAAACGAAAACGAAAAAGATTTGAATGAGAAAGATTGAAGAATCCTAGATCGGATTAGCTCTGATACCATAACAAACTTTTCTCCATTGTTAACAAACTCAAGCTAAAGCAGAGAAAAGAAGAGTCAACGATAAAATCAGAATTTCTCATTTATTAACTTTACAGTATTGTTCTGTTTATATACAAGTCTAAACTTATGCTAACATACACTTATATCTCATTATTAACATAAGCTGTACACTAACATAAGCCAGTGATAATATACTCATGATATTAGCTATGAAATTAGGTCTAAGCAAGTAGAGATATATATATATATATATATATATATATATATATAGTTTTGTAATCAAAGTTGTTAACTTTAGAGTTGCTATTGAGAGCAACTATACTCTTTCTCTTTGTATGAAATCAAATCTAAAGTCTTTGGGCTCTTGGTGTCAACATAAACCTCTCTTCCTCTTTTAGTTTGTTTGCATAATATAGCTCTTAATGAGCTATCTAATTTCAGTTTTTTTTTTCTCTTAATAAGCTCATTTGAGCACAAATCTATCTTGCTTTAGAAATGTCTACAATATATACATTACATATAGAAAAAAGAGGCAGCTAGTTTTGAACAAATCACCCAAAAATATTCTAAGATAGGTCTCTAGCAGTAGCATCATATGAGAATAGGGAGTGGAATCAAATATGAGCAGTGCCGGCTCTATGCATGTGCTGAGAATGCACTAGCACATGGTCTCTTTTTTTTTGCTTTTCTCCTAAGATAAAAAGGTCTACTTTTTTTTTTTCTTTAACATGTACTAACAAAAAGAAGTTTTTTTTTTCTTAGCACATGGTCCAACCAAAAGTTGAGTCGGGCCTATATGAGATAGTCAAAAAAACATCACAGCGCAGTATGCCTCTACAATTTTTACCATAAGCGGTGTTAAATTTGGATAGACGACACACATCTTTGGGTTTTTACCAAATCAAATCCAAAATTTTCTAGAAATTTTGGCCATGAGACACTTTTTGGGGTTTGTATGCATTATGGGTGTAACATTATACCATCGTATATGACAAAAATATCTGACCCTCCACGAATTAGTCTGAATTTTCAGCTAAGAATCCCTTATTTATATGACAAAAGAAATGTCATGTGGAGGGAGTGGAGTGGAGAGGAAGAGAGAACCTACATGCATGTCGTCGATAAATCAAACTAGTGCATTAGATCTAACATTCGGCCCATTCGTAAAAGAATGAAAGACTAGAAGAAATACACTGGGCCAACAACTAAAGCCCATTAAAAGAAGCAATAATTGGAGATGGGAGTTACGGCCACGTAACTTTGACAGAGCAGGGAAAGCTTTATCTTTATGGGACTTTAACCTTTTTTTAGCATATAAAGAGGCTCTATGTAAATTTTCCAAATAATAACTCCGACAATAGTACTACTCTCTCATGCAAATAATTCTGTTTTGGTAACACTAAAGTGGGACTAACTCAACCAACTTAATTTGGTTGTTGAATAAATCACCTCATACAACAAATAAAAACAAAACAAGTATGGTTCCAAAGCCAAAAATAGACGAGTATATATATCTAAAATGTATTCATTGATTACGACAAAAACAGACAACAATGTAATCTTGCCTGAGGTTGGTTGGTCATATGCATTCACGAGTCAAAATTTTCTCATATAGTAGTTGTTTTTTTTTTTTTTTTTTTTTTTGGACAAAATAGTAGTAGTTGTATTATTTATACAACATAAGCCAGAAATGGGAAAAGTTAAAATACAAAAATAATCTAAATTGAGCAACTTTTTTAAACTTTATAGGACCACGTGAAGGAATCTAATGAGTGGACCCTGACGGCACGTTGACTTGGACATAATCGAGTCAAAAGAAACCAAACGGCGCCTAAAAAAGGCTTGAGCCATGGCATTTCCGTAATTACTGATTAATACAAGGGTAAAATAGAAAATTTAAAAGACACTGACGTCACGTGCGAGTCAGGACATGGCACAATTGGCAGACCACAGCAACCAAGTGGTCAAGCTCAAGCTTAGCTCAAAGCTCTCTTCAGGTTTTATGAACCAAACAAAAAACAAAACTTTACCGGAGATGACGACGGAGCAAGCTTTGTTGTCTATGGAAGCGTTACCTCTAGGTTTCAGATTCAGACCAACGGATGAAGAACTCATCAATCATTATCTAAGGTTAAAAATCAACGGCCGTGATTTAGAAGTTAGAGTCATACCTGAGATCGATGTTTGCAAGTGGGAACCATGGGACTTACCTGGTTAGTTAGTTCTCTCTTCTTCTTTTTATGGTTTTGAGAATTGAAAGGTGGAAGCTTTGTGAAATTTTGGATTGTTTTGAGAGTGATGATGATGATAAGGTTTTTAGGGTTTTGTTTGATTGTTTTAGGGCTTTCGGTGATAAAGACGGATGATCAAGAATGGTTCTTTTTTTGTCCTCGTGATCGGAAGTATCCGAGTGGTCATCGTTCTAATAGAGCTACTGATATTGGTTACTGGAAAGCTACTGGGAAAGATCGAACTATTAAGTCTAAGAAGTTGATTATTGGTATGAAGAAGACTCTTGTTTTCTATCGTGGAAGAGCTCCTAGAGGAGAGCGTACTAATTGGATTATGCATGAGTATCGTGCTACTGATAAGGAACTAGATGGTACTGGACCTGGTCAGGTCTGTTTTTTTTTCTTTCTCTTTCTCAATCTACTTATGGTCAATTCTAGCTTCTTGTCTTGCTTTAAGGTAGTCTATGGTTGTGAGGTCTTTGGTTGCTTTATATAGTAAGAAGTTTGTTTCTTGAAATGTCAGTTAATGTTGACTAGTTTAAGTAACTCTACTCTTGGTTAATGATGGTGGTGGCTTTTTGGCTAGTTGGTGTGTGATTTGTTAATACTCTTCTGCTTATATGTTTTTTTTTTGTGTGTGTTTTGTAACAGAATCCGTATGTTTTGTGTCGCTTGTTCCACAAGCCTAGTGATAGTTGTGATCCTTCAAACTGTGAGGAAATAGAGAATGTTAATTCCACTCCTACCACTACTAGATGCTCTCCTGATGACACATCTTCTGAAATGGTCCAAGAAACATCTACATCTGGTGTGCATGCTCTAGATAGATCAGATGATACTGAGAGGTGTTTAAGCGACAAGGGTAATGATGTGAAACCTGATGTTTCAGTGATAAACAATACTTCTGTCAATCATGCTGAAACTTCTCACGCCAAAGACCGTGTTTTGGGAAAAAGCTTAGTAGAGGTAATACTTATTTTTCAGGTGATCTCTGTTTGCACTAAGTATAACATTCTGTATCACAATTTCTCCATCGCTTCCCATCGTTAACCATTTTGTGCTTTCTTCTGGTTTAGGAAAATCACCTTCTAAGGGACATTCCAACTCTTTATGGACCCATCTTAAGTGAGAAATCATATTATCCAGGGCAGTCAAGCATCAGTTTTGCTACATCACACATCGATTCGATGTATTCTAGCGATTTTGGAAACTGTGGTTATGGGCTACATTTTCAGGATGGGGCCTCTGAACAAGATGCATCTTTAACAGATGTCTTGGATGAGGTCTTCCATAACCATAATGAATCCTCTAGTGAAAGGAAAGACTTTGCGATTCCAAATATGATGCATTGGCCTGGAAATACAAGACTGTTGTCTACTGAGTACCCATTTCTCAAAGATTCCGTTGCTTTTTTAGACGGCGGTGCTGATGTTTCCGGCCCACAGGTAACCAGAATGTTTGAGATAGCCTGCATTGTGGGATAGTGATTTGTAAACTGATGATGATTATGGGACTGACCATAGTGTTTCTTCATGTACAGCACTTTGTTCCTGACATTTTAGCTTCCAGATGGGTCAGTGAACACAACCTTGATAGCAAGGAGGTAGTAGAGATTCAATCTTCATCCGGGTCCTCTCGGACCGTGACGCCACTTCATAACAACGTGTTTGGGCAATATGCTTCATCGTCTTATGCAACTATTGATCCATTCAACTATAATGTCAACCAGCCCGAACAATCATCCTTTGAGCTTCATCCCGGTAACATATCTGGGTTCAATGCCAGGTCTCGAGAGAATCAGACAAATCTTGACTCTGTTGTGGACCAAGGCACTGCTCCTAGAAGAATTCGGCTGCAAATCGAACCGCCATTGACACCAGTTATCAACAAGAAAGAGAGAGATGCAGACAACTATGAAGAAGATGAAGTACAATCTGCCATGTCCAAGGTATGATTCAGTCAACAGGCTAGTGTTGTGATCAACCTGGAATGACCTCTCAAATGACCCTTGATGAATCTGCAGGTCGTAGAGGAAGAATCAGCCAATTTAAGTACTCAGGGGACTGCTCAGAGGAGAATCCGCCTGCAGACGAGATTGAGGAAGCCTCTCATAACCATAAACAACAGAGAAAGAGACTCAAACGTTAGAGAAGAAGAAGCAGGCCATCATAGCAAGGTAAGATGTTTCTTTTCGAGTTACATCAAACATCATCTCTATAAGAAAAGCATCTAATATTGACATAAGAGAGAAAAAAAACTCTTAACTAGCATGATTGAAACAATGCGAAATGCAGGAAAAGGGAGATGTGTCATCATCATCATCATCATCATCATCATCATCATCATCATGGCAGAAACAGAAGAAGAGCTTGGTGCAGTATAGTAGTATGGTGATATTAGTGGCGGTGATAGTTGTTTTAGTAGGAGTATGGAAAGAGTCAAGAGATGCCAAATGTAGCTTCTTGTTTCATCAATTAGATTCCTTCAAAGGCATGTTTACTTGATGATATATTGTGCCATTCTCCATGTTCTTTTTGTATAATCAATCATGTGTATCTGTTTTTTCTTTCTTTCTTTTGTAGTGTTGAGTAATGAAGCCAGATTCTCTAGAATCATTAACAAATTAGTTCTCTTTTTTGATTTTTTGCAGTTCACACTTCTTCTCCTTGTGTCCGTCACAATATATTAACGTAATTATTAATGTATTTTATTTTTGTATGTATATAATCAATCGTGTTTAGAAAAAAATATATATAATCTCAAATTTTAAATTCAATGGTCTTATGTAACATAATAAAATATATAAATTATCTCAAACAATACGTAATGTTGATGGAAAAAAAAAAGAAAAAGAAAACATAATTTCACAAAAATGTACAAGAGAGATAAAAAAAAAATGTTGTCCATGCATCACTATTTTAGACCTAATCTTCAGACACATAACCAAATCGACTGACCAATCGTTGTATACAAAAATCTAAACATATCCAACCACATACCAAACTTTAGTTAGAAATTCCCTTCCACAAAAACTAAAAAAATCAATCTATCCTAATTCCTATGTGAATATATAGACGTCGATACTCTTATTAATTATTTTGTGATAGTTTCAAAGTTTTCATCAATGAGATTGCAGTTCACATTAAACGTTCCACAGATTCTGACACATCCGAAATAAGTGCGGTTAAAGAAAAAAATGTTACGGACGTTAGAAATGAAACGCTCCATGTAGTAGGAGTACTAATTAAAAAAAAAAAAAAAAAACTTCTTAAAATGTTGATCTTTATCTTCATAATCAAATCCAAACAATTATCTATATTAGGATTTTGTAATCGCTAATTTAATAATTTATGTCGTTACATTCTTAGGATATGAAGTTTTTTTAATTAAATGACATAAGGAAACAAGATAAAGATCGAACGGATAAACATCATCCGGTTTGTGAGTGGATCCCGCATGATATACAATAAGTGGTGAGGTCCATATCCAATACTATGTGCGTTTTCTACATCTTTCTCAACACTTGTTTCTCTTCTATTTATTATTCAAATTAAACTACACAAAATTTTGGCGCAACGTTACGTAATCTATTTAATTCTAATCCTTTTTTTTTGTTTGTTTAATAAAAGAATAATTCACTCTTATTATAAGATAATAAATTAAGAAAGAGAAAAACCAAGAGCAGGTTTGACCAAAAAAAATACCAAGAGCGGAGAGACAGTAGAAGACACCCCTAGATTCTACTTCTCCTTCTCCAACTACTACTATATATAACTAAATACAATTGTGTAAGAAAACATAGAGAACAAGAGAAATAAGAAGATTCCATTGAAGCTAAAGAAAATCAAGAATGTTGCTAGTGACTTTGATTGCTGAGATGATGAAGGAGTACACGGTGGTGCTCGCCGGACTTTTGGAGCATCTCTTCTCTCAAGCGCCTTTTCCGAGGAGAATCCGACTTCAGATTTTATACTCTCTTCCTTTTCATAGTTCCAATTCATCTCTCCCTCTTCTCCTTCCTTCCCCTCCTCTTTATTCTCGTTCTTCTTGATGTTTATTTTCTTGCTTACTTTGTGAATTTTTTTTACGTGAGCTTTTTTTGTAAATAAGATCTCTTCTACATTAATGCATCCTTTAAAAAACAAAAGAAAAAGTTACTGAGCTTTCTTTTCTTGTATGTATATCCTTTTGTGATTCTTTTTGTTGAATTGTTCTGCTAAAGAAGATTCTTTTGTTAGAAACATCACTAGATTTTGAAACGTGTGAAGAGTTATTTTGTTATGGAGGTGAAATTCATTATTATCGTCGATGGTAGACTTGATCTTGGTCAAAAATTTTGAGAAGAAGACTCTTTTCTAATTAATGCATCTTTTTGTTAAAAAGAACAAAAAATTCTTGAGCTTTGTTGTATAATCTTTTGTTGAATTTATTTACCTGTGAAGTAAAAGTTATCATTATCATTATCATTATCATTATATTTCATTAAAAAAAAAAAAGAAGTTATCATTATCGTAGACTTGATCTTGGTCAAAGAATTGAGAAGAAGACGGTTTTTCTGACGACTCTCTCTAATTTGGTATGATTAAATGAGAGACACCATTTCATTTAGAAGGTCTCAAAACTCCAGTTATGTGATCATGTAATCAAGAGATGTATCCAAAAAGGTGTTTACTCGGTTCCATTGTCGTTTTTACCGATCGAGTCGAGTCAATCCAACGGTCCAACCATATCAATGTTGAGTTCTGGTTACGGGCCAGGGATGCTCCAATTCTACTTGCCTCGGAAAAACAGAATTCGCTATTACTTGTGGTTCGAGAATGATTTACTTTCCTTTAAATTATTGGACTTAATTGGTAGTTGTTTTAATTTTTTTGAAACTTAATTGGTAAGTTAGATGAAAAGTTTTGAATAGGAGATTTTTTCTTTGAGAATATTGCTAAGATTTTAATAATAATCTTTTTCGAAATAAGGGTCTCATTTTTTGTGATAATTCTTATCTAGTTGAATAGTCTCATTTCTCAATCAGAAATAATTAGTTTCATCCAAACATGATTTTGAGTAGGAAATATCTATCCTTTTTCTTTTAACTCTACAAAACCGTCTTTACTATTAATATCGAGACGAAAAGGTATTTCTCCATGTCTACAATTGGCTTAAGCCACACGAGAGTGTGTGCTATTTATTATTCAGGGTAGCTAGGTACATAGGAAATGGCATGGCTCTCTTAGCGATTATTCAGGGTAGCTAGTTTGTCTTTCTCTAAAGGAATATGTTGGTCGAATCCATCTTCTTGTTGTTCCAAACATCTTCATTGTGAGTGAATGTAAATCTCGACCATTCTTTAGGGTTTTCCAAAACATTGATTAGTTCTTTTCAAACACTCTCAAACCTTACTCTTTCAACACCATTTGTCTAAACATTACCAATGACAATGTCGTAGTCTCGGCAGGGCCGGTCCTGTATTATTTGTGACCTAATACAAATTCGAAAATCCGCGCCTCTATATTGAAAAGCAGGACCTCTAACAAGCATGAAAAAAATGACCCTCTATATTTTTAGGTCCCATACACATGTATCATAAGAATGTGTCAAGGACCAGGGCTCGTTTTTTTTTTCATCGTATATCAGACACTTTAAAATATTTCTTACAAAAATCATATACATTACATTTTCAAACCATTGATCAGAGGAAGAATCCATTTCATCCATTGATATTATGTATCACTAATTGATTCACTTTTTGTACTGTTTTTTAATTCAAATTAAAATAGGTTAACAAGAAACTGATCATAAAATTTTTCAAATATGTTCGTGCAAAATTCAAAAGAAAAGAGAAGTACAGGGACCCATATAACAATATTCCGAAAATAAAAGGTTGAAAATGTCAAATCCAAAAGTTTTCGTCCTAATCCGAATTTTTGACAAGAGTAAAACAGAGAAGAGAACGACATCTTTTTTTTGTTTAATAGACTTGACCTCAAGGAAAAAGCTTCGTCCTTTCGCAAACCCAGGGAAGGGGAAGGTGAATAAGCCCTTCCCTTCTTCTTCAACAAGATTCATCATTTCCTTCCTTTCTCCTCCATAGCCATAACCACACAGAGATACAGAGAAGATGAAGCACTACAGTCACGGAATTGATGGTTTACGAAGCGGTCTTTCACCATCCGCTAAACCTTTCGCAATCGGTTCTTCTTCTTCTCCTTCCTTCTCTCTCAAATCTGAACACGAAGATTCTATCTGGGGTGATTATACTTTAGACCTTTCCTTTTTATCCTCTGATGATCAGAGAAGTGGTCTTGATGATGATGATTCGTTATCTAACTTGTCTCGCGATGTGGAGACTAAAAAAGGTATAACACAAAATCTTTGACTCTTATTCTCTTGTTGTTGTTAAGGTCGTGTGTGTGAATTGGGCATAGAGAAAGTGTTAATTTTTGGTGTAAAGAGCTAATTTTGTGAATTTTGCAGAAGGATTGGTTTTGGAGGAGAAGATAGCTAGTTCTGGAAAGGTTTTGGTAAACCCTAATCCAATTTTCTCGAAATTGCCTGAGGTACTGATTAAGCCCTCAAATGTTGCTGGTGATGCAAAGTTGGGTCTGTCCTGTGTCTCTGAGAAATCGTCTACAGAGTCTGATGAAGATGATTCTGAGGAAGATTCTCCTTGTTGGATAGGAATGCATTCTCACAAGAGTCTGGCTTCAGGTGCTAAAGCTGTGGCTTCGAGGCGTTCGACTGATGATCTTAGTGGGTTTCATAGATTGAATCCTTTGGCACCTCAGTTTATACCATCTAATTCTAAGAAGAAAGTTGAAACGGATGGGGAAAAATGTGAAGAGAATAGTTCTTCGTCTTTGAAGAAGTCTCTGTCTTCAACTTTTCCGTCGTCGTCTGGAGAGTTCGATTTAACTGACCCTCCTCCTGAAGATGGAAGAAATGATGCAGCAAAACTGACAAGCATATTGACCCACAATGCAGATAAAATTTTCGGTTTTGTATCTAGTGATAGCGGTTCCAAGACCCTGAGCATTTTGGATTCTAGAAATGAATTCCAACCATCGAAAAGGTTGGATCCTTTAGCCCCTGTTTTTGTTCCCTCTAGTGCAAAACTAAGTCCTTCTGTCCATGAGAAGCAAGGAGCGTTTGAGGCAAATGCACATCCAACTTCTGCTCTTACTTCTTCAGATGATAAGTCACTAAATAAGGTCAAGGTAGCGACATCTTCTGGAGAAGTTGGCCATAGTTTTAAGAGTCGATATGGTGGTCATGATTTGAGTTCGACATCTTCATACAATCCTTGGATTGAATCCAACGTTGGGATTACTGAGTATGCTAAACTAGGAAGCTCCAGCAACAAATCTCAAGGTCAGCGGAGATTGAATCCATTGGCCAGTCAGTTCTCTCTTGCAGATACTAAACCGAAAGCATATGACTACGAGAAAAACCAAACTGCAGATGATTTATCGCTAGTGGTGAATACAACCGGTTTATACATTCCAGCTCGTTATAGGGAGGACCATAATGTTGTAGATGCAGACTTAGCACAATCCTCAGTGTATGTGGAACGTTTCATTCCCAACATGTCACATGGCAGTTCTTCACTTATGTCTCCAAAGGCAGACAGTAACATTGGGTCTACTAAGTGGTTTGCAGTGGAGCCAAATCCTACATTTTCAGTAAAGGGTAATAGAGATCTTAAGCATCCTCTTCCATTTCATGTTGTAGATACTGCAGCGAGTTCATCTACAAGTGATATGAAAGCTTTACCTGGCCCATCTCCAAAAATGGATGTGAAGAAACTACTTACAACGATGCATGGACTGTCAGAGTTACTAACACTTGCACATGGTTCAGAATCTTCAGATTCACCGAATGTGGAAGAGCTTGATCTCATTAACAGTACTGTACAGAATCTCAACTTGTACATCCAAAACAACACTCAGGCTGGGAATCAAAGCGTTGCACAATGCAATTCATATGATCTAAAGCTGTTACCTAACAAGAGTAAGGTATGGTGTTCTAACTGTTTCTATGTATATAAATTGCTAGCTTAAGCCACATGAGATTTCATTATACTTGGAAGCCCATTAGATTCGCCTAGAACATATTTTATTTAAGATCAACAAGAAATATACCATCATGTCTTGTAGAATTTACAAAAATGATATAGTGTTAATGGGTCACCTCTTGTTGTTAATGGGTCACCATGATTCCAAATCCTGTGTATTAGCTATCGATTAGAGACACTCATCAGCTTCCAACGGCAAACAATATGACTGTCGACCTTGATGTGAAAAGGAAGGATAAGTACTCTGTAGTTTCAAGGGAGACGATCCCAGGTTATCGTTCGTATCAATATGGTGCGACCAAAGATAACGGCTTTGGTCAGGTATGGTTTTTGTTCTCCATACTTAAGCTGTGATATTTGGCGTTTAGTAGGAGGTAGACCGTCAGTTTGATAATGTGGGCAGGTTGTGCCTACAAATGGTTACCAACAGAATCATCAAGGGGAGGAGCAGATTAACCAAAATGCACTGTTCTATAAAAGCTTATGGCTCAAGGCTGAAGCAGACAGGTGTTTGATGGTCTACGAGACTTCTCTTTCGAATCCATATCCTTGAAGATATTAGAAAGGTGACATCAAATCATCCATAATTCCCCATCTAAAAATATTTTGAAGGGCAATAACATGTCAGATTGGTAAGGCTTGCCCAAAGTGTGCTTTCGATTTTGCAGGTTGGCATGTAAAATATCAAAGAACAGCCTCAAGATCTCCAATTTCTGGATGGAGACTTTTAAGGCATAAAAATCATTTTCCGAAGAAGTGGCTGACACATGACTAATTGTGCTGAAAGATGAAGTTGGTGCTCCCTTTTTAGAAGTTACCTTTTATTTTACTTATGGTCAATTGGTCATGTCGATTCAAGAGAAATGAACTGATACTATTTTGAATCACTACTGAATAAATTGGTCTTTTTTTCTTATCAGAACCTGGGAACTGTTTGGAGGTGGATCCTTTTGATTGCTGAAGATTGTAATATTTTCTTGTTCTGGTCCTGAATCTTTGATTATGAGATGTATAAACAAACCACTGTTACTCTTTTCTTTACTACTATGTCATCACGCTTTTTGTTATATAGTACCTTTTATCTAACTTAGCTTGCCTATAATGACACCAAATCAAACATACTTTGATCAAAGTAGACACAATCAATAAATGTTCCAAGAAAATAGTAGCTGAGACAAGAAACAATGAAACAAAAGCAAAACGACAGTTGTAGCGGTAGCTCTACTACTACTCAACTCTATGTAGTGAGTTCCATAATGGCTGAAACGATATCTCCATCACTGGCCTTTAGAGCTTTGACGGCTTTGGCCTTAGAGACACCTGCTTGGGTCATAACAAGATCAATGTCTCTGGCTTCAACACCAGTGTCATCAACATCTTCTTCGTCTTCTTCCTCTGCTAGTGGAGCCATAGCAGCAACAGAAGCATCATTACGTAGCATAGATGCCATGTCAGGCATCTTGAACCTCTGAGCAGCCTGAGTTTGTAGCTGAGAGCTCAAATCGTCAATCTTAGCCTCTCCAAAAATGACGTAAGTGTCGGCATTGGGACTCTTGTAAACATCTGGCTTCGAGATAACAAATAACACCTGATATATATGCAACATTAACCTTTGTTGCTTACACAAGAAAATTGCGACATAAAGAGTTTATTGATTGTTAGAAGATTTTACATTCTTGGTTCTTTTGATTGTCACTCTGCTGACATCTGAGACAGGTTTCATCCCAAGCTTTAGAACAGCTTTTCGACTTTTCTTCTCGCTTCTACTTTGCTTTGAATTCTCATTTCCACCTTCTCCTTCACCTACACAACCAAAACATGGATACAAACCCCAAAATCAACAAAGGTTTCTCTTTAAAGAAGTACAAAACATATGCAAAATCGACATCATTATAACCGCGGCGCAATGCTATCGAATTCTTCCATAGAGAAGCAAATTGACATTTTAAGAGCTATATCTCAAGCTTAACCTAGGGCTTTAAGAACCTCAATTTCAACAATTTTCTGATTTTCTACAAACCTCATTTTCATAAACCTAAAAGACAAATCATATCTATATATACTAACGATTTTAGAAACATACATAGACCACTCAAAATCAAATCATGAATCAAAATCAAACGAATATATTCCGGTTAACCGAAATAAATTAAACCGGAAGGAAAAGGAAATGATTAAGAGTACATAACCTTCGACGTCCTCATCGTCTTCGTCGTCGTCTTCTTCCTCTCCGTCTTTCACGTCCTCCACAACAACATCATCTTCCTTCTGTTTCCACCACAAAACAATTCTCAAACTCGACGATAACAACAAATCGGAATAATCGAAGAGAGGAAAAGAAAAAAACGAACCTCGAGTTTCAATTGCTCTTTGATGGATTCAATCTGAGATTTCTCTTCCTCCACAATTGCTCCTGGCATCTTTCTTCTTCTTCTTCTTCTTCTTCTTCTTATTCTTAGCGCAGCGAGAACCAAAAGACCTTCCTTAACAGTGAGTGACAGATGAAACAAATAAAGGAGATAAATGATCCTCTGCTCCGCGGTTCACTGTAACCAAACCCAATTGTTGTCAATTTAAAAGCCCATTGGGCCGCAGTCTCAAAAAACTTTGATTTGTTATTTAGTTGGCGAATATATGTACGTCTCTATATGTCAGAATCAGAATGGTCAACAACAGAAACTATTACGACTTGTTTTAATAGTCTAAAGAAACGAAGCATTCACCAATTTTGACTACAACTCTCAAAAGCTTTGCTTTGGTTCAGCTGGAAAATGGAAGAACAAAATCTATCTTTGTACGCAATGATCCTATCTAGCTGTTCTGTTCTTCCCATGGTTCTCAAGACAGCTATAGATCTTGGTCTCTTCGACATATTAGCCGAATCTGGTCCTTCATCTGCCACTCAGATCGTATCTCTCTTGTCTATTCAGACACGAAAACATCATGATTCAAGCTTGGTCAATCGGATTCTTCGGTTTCTTGCGAGTTACTCCATAGTCACCTGCTCTGTTTCCACTAACCACGATGAGCCATGTGCGGTCTATGGCTTAGCTCCTGTTGCCAAGTACTTCACCAAGAACCAAGCTGGAGGTGGCTCGTTGGCTCCGTTGGTGAACTTGTTTCAGGACAAAGTCGTAATTGATATGTGGTAACTTCATTAACAACATCCTCACTCTTTTTGTCTAAAAACGTTATGATATCTGACTTGTTGTTAATGCAATCTGATGTTGTGTTTAACAAAAAAAAGGTACAACCTCAAAGATTCTGTTCTTGAAGGAGGAATTCCATTCAACAAGACACACGGTTCTAGCGCGGTCGAATTGGTTGGAAGAGACTCAAGATTCAGAGAAGTGTTCCAAAGCTCCATGAAAGGTTTCAATGAAGTTTTCATAGAAGAATTTCTGAAGAATTACAATGGTTTTAATGGTGTGAAGTCGTTGGTTGATGTTGGTGGTGGAGATGGTTCTCTTCTCAGTAGAATCCTCTCTAAGCATACTCACATCATCAAAGCTATTAACTTTGATTTGCCAACTGTTATCAACACGTCACCACCTTCTCCAGGTACACATACAAATTCTTGAATATATAGATTCTGTTGTATAGTAAATGATCTTTAATGTCATAACTTTTTATGGTTGTAGGAATTGAGCATGTTGCTGGAGACATGTTTATAAACATTCCTAAAGGAGAAGTCATTTTCATGAAGGTTAACTTTTTTAAAGCTTTCTCAAAGTCTTAACAGACTCATATACCTAAAAAGCTAACATTTAGGTTTCTTGTGTTTTTGTTACAACTTACAACAGTGGATGCTCCATAGCTGGGACGATGAACATTGCGTGAAGATACTTTCCAACTGTTATCAATCGTTACCGTCAAATGGGAAGGTGATTGTAGTCGATATGGTTATTCCAGAGTTCCCGGGAGACACTCTCTTAGACAGAAGCTTGTTTCAGTTTGAGTTGTTCATGATGAATATGAACCCATCAGGGAAAGAAAGAACAAAGAAAGAATTCGAGATCTTAGCTCGCCTCTCCGGATTTTCTAATGTCCAAGTTCCATTCACATCTCTCTGTTTCTCAGTTGTAGAGTTCCACAAGAACGAGTGATATGTATAATTTTGAATAAAAACGTCTTCTTCAAGATTCACATTTTACAGACTCAGAATCTAAGGGTTCTGTTCCTATTCTACTTGAATAGTTACATGATTGATTTTATGCTCTCTCTTAATACACTTAATCACCTTGTCAATAACCGCGTTTGTGTCTACCTCGGGGTACGGTTGATCCTAACATGTGAAGCTAAAGAAACTTTGTCGACGGTGATCGACCAAACATGAAGCTCATGGACCGCCGTTACTTCATCTATGTTGCATATACCCGCGGAGAGTCTACTACAATCGATCTCTCTAGGAGCAGTCTCCATCAGGATGTCAAGTAACTTTCGCGTGGTACTCTAGGTTCTTATCACCGCCAGTACAAAGAAGATGAGTCATGAGTGTACAGATCATATCGAGGATCTCCATTTTTGGCTTCCACCAGATAAATTCCAGCACTTATCATCACTCCAAAACTCTGGATTAAATCTCCAATTACATGAAGATACTCTCCTTGTACATTAATATTCATCGCTCCTCCGTCGGTTCCTGCATCCTAGGTATGGTGATCATGATCATGAGAGTGTCCGTGATGATCATGGCCAAGAACGAATAACATTACTAAGTCTATGATGACTCCAAAACATGCCGCTCAAAACATTAGAGATCCTTTGATTTCTCTGTTCTTGTGGAAGAGTCTTATGATTGCCTCACTCACAATCCACACATTAAGAGCCCAAGTAAGCAAGATTGAAGCAAGATTCGCAAGAATCTCGATTCTGAAGTATCCGAAGCTTCTTCTTGGTGTTGCTTCCCACCTTGAAGCGTATAGGGAAAATAAGGAGATGTCAAAGCAAACAACATCTGAGAGTTGATGTGCCGCGTCCGTTAGAACTGCAAGGCTATGCGATTTGATGCCGCCAACTATCTCAATGCTCATAAAGATTAAGCATAGGATTATGACAGTAGATAGCTTCTTCTTGGACACTGACAGATCCTCAGTGTACTCAGCTCCATAAAATCCACAAGGGATCTCTCCACATGTCTTCTTGATCCTCTCTGTCTCTGTAGTAGTTTCTCTGAGGATTTCAATCTCTCGTTCAACTGTTTGGATCTCCATAGCGATGAAAGAAAAACAGAGAAACTGAACCTAGTTTGGTGTGTGTTGAGAGAGAAAGAAGCAAAGTATAAATCTGTTTATATGGAGGGCATTTCGATTATATAACTCACAGTTTGATGATGCTATTTCTTGAGCAAAACGTAACTCAGTTTCTCTTTGATAACATGACAATTTGGTGATGCTACTTCTTGATGAGCATAAACGTAACCAGTTAGAGTTCAGTGTGATTCTGTTTTGATAGCATGACAAATTTGATCATGTTAGTTTTCTGACGACAAAAAGCCTACGTTTCCGGCCTCAGGTTATTTGGCCCTGAGTTTGAAACTGCTATAAGCAGAATCCTATCGAGCTCCTCTGTTGTTCTCATGGTTCTTAAGACAGCCATAGATCTTGGTCTCTACTGACATATTGGCCGAATCTGTCTCTTCCTCTGCTCCTTAGATCGCGTCTCTCTTGTCTAATCAAACACAAAAATATCATGATTCAAGCTTGGTCAATCAGATTCTTCGATTTCTTGCGAGCAACTCCTTAGTCACCTGCTCTGTTCCCACTGGCCACGGTGTGCCATGTGCGGTCTATGGCTTAGCTTCTGTTGCTAAGTACTTCACCAAGAACCAAGATGGTGGCGGTTGCTCGTTGGAGGTGTTGAGGGAAAAAGAGTTTGCACCAGTGAAGAACGCAAACGAGTCAAATTTCGATACACCAGAAAGTGCAAGGCTCTTGGTTCTAAAGGATGGTCGATTTCTAACATATTATGTGCCTTTATATGCAACTGGTAACTCTAAAAAACAAACTGTCAATGAGAAGTGTCATACTCATATCCAAAATAACTAGACCCAATGATATAATAAATATAATGAAGACAACTTTAGTCATGGCTCTGACTTAAAAAAAAAACTTAATTTAAAACTTCTTTGATAACTTGAGTTTTACAGAGAGTATACAACACTTGTATCAAATAGAGGGCTTTTAGCTGACTTGGGGAGCAAGGGAAGCAATAAGGTTTTGAAACCTGCAGATTCTAAAAATCAAACGTAGGACGACCTTGTTGCAAGTGAGCAACGGTTCTAACTTAATGATCTTCTTTAGATGGTGTTGATGTGCTCGTGGGTTTGCACTTCTGTTCTGGTTTGCTTATAGATGTTGCAGCATAAAATGCATAAACACCAAAATGCTAAACCAACATAGTGATAAAAGCTTACACGAAACCTGTAAAGGAGAAGTGTCGCACTTACTGGTTTTGACACCTGTAAATTCATCATCATCTAAAAGACGCTGAGCTTTAAATTTGCTAATGCCCCCAAGAGTACGAAGATCTTGTTGCGGTTGAGCAACAGTAATTTCATCATCATCATCAAGATACAGAGCATTAAATTTGTTAATGCTCTCAAACGTAGGACGAAATTGTTGCTGGTAAGCAATGGTCCTCACTTGATGATCTTTTTTAGACGATGTTGATGTCCACCCTTGATGATCTTCTCTAGATGATGTTTCTGTGCATGTGGGTTTTGGCTTCTGTTCTGGTGGGCTTATATAAGTCGCAGCATAAGTTTTCTTCATAACATCAAACTTAAGATCCTCTACATGGTCTACGAAGGCGTAAACTAGATTCTTACTATCAAACACTTCATGGTTACCATGGATTTCAACGCGTTGGAAAGTTTTTCTTTCGGGATTAACGTAGAAAACATAAAACGGTTTAGATGTTAACTTCTTGACAAAAACAATATCACCTTTAGCTGTCACTCCAGCAACGGAATAGTAGTAGGAATTCTCCGGCAAAGGGTGGACATATTTGGACCATTCCTGTTTCTCGACATCCTCTAGAACCCACATACACAACTCAACGGTACACCTTCCACTGACGGTATCATACTTCCAAATAATCGCACCTAATTTACCCTTGTACCTTATCAATTCAGGCAAACCACAAAAGCAATTTGTATCAATAAATTTGAATTTCTCAGACCTAACATCAAAGCAACATATCACATACGCTCCATGATCAGTTGGGTGAGCTAAGTAATACAAAACCCCATTGACGCATATTTCTTCCCGAAAAGGCACATGGGCTAAGGGACAGTGGATCTTCCTCCACCTCATTTTTCCAGGTCCTAATGTCAGAATATGGTGAACGTATCCATTCTTATAATATTTATGGTTAATGCGCAATACCTTGAATTGCTTGTCAATCGGATCAAACCCTAAGAAGCTTCTCACCTCTTTGTACGTTATCCGTTGTAAGATCGCATATTTTCCCGTGATAGGGTTACATATCACACGGAATTCACACATCTGCATACTAGGGAAATAGATCAAACCAGAAACATAGCTACAATTGGTTCTGCCTAGGTCTTGAGAGAACTTCATATGAAAATCGGCGGTTACTAAAAGAGATGACTTCCCAAAAATATTTTGACACTGAGGCGACGAGAAGAAGAGCCACTCACCCTCTCTTTTGACCCCAAATAAGAGACGTGGATGATCTGAGGACCTGGTTAAGAACAACTCGGTGAAATTTGGGCGGCCAAGCATGGACTTCCATAGCTTCGACACGCAACGACACCTCCCGATGGACTTTGCGGACAATCTCGAGAATATCTCGAGAATGAGATCAGTCGGGATGGAGTCTAAATTTTCTCCTCTACTCATTATCGTTGTATCTGCTGATTACAAATCGCAGAGACGGTGTAAAATGGAGAATCTCTTGAAAGTTCTAACTAATTAAGATGATGTTAATTAACCTCGCATGGAGAGGAAAGTGGATTTGAACCTATTTATAGTCAAAGCTAATATAAGAGGGACTACCATTAAAAATAAAGAAAAAAGTTATAAAAAAAACAATCTTATTTGATTCAAAATTTATGAGAAGTCTTCTCTCTTCTAAACATTAACACATGTCTTTTGTAAGTGATTCCCATTTAATTTTTACAAATTTTCTCCTCTACTCATTATCATTTAATTTTTGGAGAGTGTTCCTTTCGGATTGAAATAGAAAACATAAAACAGTTTATACTATTGGGGAATATATGGACTCATGTGTAATTAACATACTCTTAAGTTATAGTTTGTAATATTAGACTTTGTATTAGGTTAACTCATGTGTATATAAGGCAAAGCCTTAAGATGATTATCGATAAGAAACCTTTAATACCAAACTAGGTCTTCTTGACATGGTATCAGAGCCTAACCTAAAATTTTAGGTCATACGATCCTTTGTTACTTCTCTTTTCAATTCTACTTCTCTCTTTGACCTTAGTATCTTCGATAAATTCGTATCAAGATACTCTCTATTACTCTAAAACATGACTGGCGGATTACCTACAGATGGATCTGATGATTCTTCGGTGACTAAAAACACTCCTACACGGCCAGAACTGACACGAAGAAGGATTGATCCGTACGATCTCTCCTCTGGAGATAATCCAGGTTCAGTTATCTCGCAGCCACAATTGCGAGGGTCAAATTATGATGAGTGGGCGTTGAACATACGGCTTGCGTTAAGGGCAAGAAAGAAGTTTGGCTTTGCGGATGGTTCGATAATCAAACCGGCGGAGGTCCGAGGATTCTGATGATCTTGAAGATTGGTGGGCGAATAACGCCATGGTTGTTTCTTGGATCAAACTCACGGTGGCGCCGGATCTGAGCAGCTCGTTGTCTCACCATGAAGTGGCTCACGATTTATGGACTCACATTCAGAAGAGGTTCTCGGTGAAGAATGGACAGAGAGTTCAAAGACTCAAAACAGAGCTTGCTAATTGTCAACAGAAAGGTGTAGCCGTGGAAGCATACTATGGGAAGCTCACAAAATTGTGGACAAGCCTCTCGGATTTCCAGCGAGCAAAAACTGTGGAGGAGATTGCAAAAGAACGGGAAGAGGATAAACTCCACCAGTTTTTAATGGGTCTCGACGAGACTCTGTTTGGGGCTGTCAAGTCCTCTTTGCTTTCTCGGGATCCCTTACCTTCACTTGATGAGGCGTATCAAGTGGTTACTCAAGATGAGGAATTAAAGAGGTCAAGTCGGCTTCTGGAAGAATGTAATGAAGGGGCTAGCTTTGCGGTACAAACTCTGTCTCGTCCTCAACAACAAAGTGTGCTTCGTGATCCGTCTGCGGTGTGTACAAGTTGCGGTAGGACTGGACACTTTGCTGAGAATTGCTTTCGCAAGATTGGATACCCCTGGTGGTGGGGTGACAGACCTCGTTCAAAGACTCCTAATACACAACAAGGAGCTTCGGGCAGCTCTAATGGTGATCGTCGAGTGGCGACAATGACTCAAGCAGCACCAAAACGGAGTGAACCAGCTCAAGTAAACCAAGTGGTGACATCGACGCCTCCATTTGCTGCAAACTCTGTCATTACGGAAGCTGACCGTGTTGGTGTGACGGGATTAAATGATCAACAGTGGAAAGCTTTGAAAAAGATGTTCAAGGAAAGGAACTCGGCAGCATCGGAATGTCTTTCGGGTAAGCATTTTATCGAATCATGGGTTATTGATACATGAGCTTCTAATCACATGACGGGAAGCATTGAATTTCTAGTTGACGTATGTGATATGGCTCCGGTTTTTATTAAATTGCCTGACGGGAGATTTACTAAATCAAATAAACATGGGAAAATTTATCTTGGTTCTCATCTTCAGCTGTCAAGAGTGTTTTTTGTGGATAGCCTGCAATGTCATCTTATATCCGTATCTCAGTTGACTAGGGATAGAGGTTGTATCTTCCAGCTAACTGATAGGCTTTGTGTTGTTCAGGACCGCATCACACAGATGCTGATTGGAGCAGGTGAACAGCTTAATGGACTCTATTTTTTTAGGGGCGTGGAAGTTGCAGCGCATACACAAGTCATGGACGGGCTACCTAATGATGTGTGGCATAGGCGTTTGGGTCATCCTTCCTCTAAAGTCATGGAGATGTTGAAGCTATCTGATAGTACTAGTAGTAGTTGCTTTGATTTTAAGTCTTGTGACGTTTGTATTCGTGCAAAACAGACAAGAGATCCCTTTCCTTTGAGTATTAATAAGACATCTGCAGGTTTTGAATTAATTCATTGCGACTTATGGGGTCCTTATCGGACGACTGCGATTTGTGGTTCTCGATTTTTTCTCACTATTGTTGACGACCATTCCCGAGCTGTATGGATTTATTTGTTGCCATCTAAGTCACACACGACATCTACACTTCGTGATTTCGTATCACTCATAGAACGTCAATTTGATGCAAAAATAAAGACGATTCGAAGTGATAATGGTGCCGAATTTATCAGTCTAGGTAGTTTCTTTCGGGAGAAAGGAATTATTCATGAGACTTCTTGTGTTGGAACGCCTCAACAAAATGGTCGTGTAGAGAGGAAGCATCGGCATATACTTAACGTCGCACGTGCTTTACGTTTTCAAGCCAATCTCCCGGTGAATTTTTGGAGCTTTTGTGCTCTTACTGCTGGATATTTGATCAACCGCACACCATCAGCGGTTCTTAATGGAAAAACTCCATTTAAGATACTTTATGATCGGACTCCACCGATGAATCATCTACGGGTTCTTGGTTGCCTCTGTTATGTACATAATCAAAGACGTGACGGTGACAAATTCGCTTCTAGGAGCAATAAATCCGTATTTATTGGTTATCCCTTTGGGAAAAAGGGTTGGAAGGTATATAATCTTGAGACTGGTGTCATTTCAGTTTCTAGAGATGTTATCTTTATGGAAACAGAGTTTACTTATGCTACAGGAACTCATGTTTCGACGCCTAAGTTGACAACTACCCCATTCATACATCGAGAACGTGAAGAAGATGACTTTCTCGATGCATTTGATTCTCCATTTGGCCTGACTTCGACTTCACCATTGTTGTCTTCTTCAAGTGATGATGCTGCCATTACACCACTTGCGACTGCTCCGTCTGCTTTGTCTACTCCGTCTAAATCACCACCGCTTCTAGATATCTTGTCTTCGGTTCCGGATTCCTCACCGTCTTCTCCGGTTTCTGTCGCAAACACACCAGACTTACCTTCTCCTCCAACGTCTTCATCATCAACTTCGGCGTCCTCTGTTTCTGATGAGATGGTGGATACGGCTGCGGAAGTAAATTTTGGCGAGGAGGAAGCTCCGATGGGTAAGGGTTGCAGACAAAAGTTTGCGTCGGTGAAACTACAAGACTATGTTACAAACACAACACACTTGGAGTCTGATGGTGATTTTTTGGATGAGAGTTGGTATCCAATTGAAAATTATGTGGACTGCGATAGATTTTCAGAAAATCACAGAGCATTTCTTGCAGCCATTACGGCTGGAGTGATTCCTCAAACTTATGCTGAAGCTTTTCTTGATGAAAATTGGCGAAATGCAGTTCGCAGTGAGATTGATGCTCTTGAAGACAATGGTACATGGACTGTTGAGAGTTTACCTCAAGGAAAGAAGGCTCTTGGTTGCAAATGGGTTTTCACTCTTAAATACAAAGCGGATGGCACGTTGGAGAGATATAAAGCAAGACTTGTTGTTCTTGGCAACAATCAAACCGAAGGTCTTGATTATAAAGAAACTTTCGCTCCGGTATGCAAAATGGTCACAGTGAGATCGTTTCTTGAAGTCTCTGTTGCTCGTGATTGGGAGGTACATCAGATGGATGTCCATAATGCCTTCCTTCATGGAGATTTAGAAGAACAAGTCTTTATTCGATTTCCTCCGGGTTTTCGGACTGATGACAAGTCTCAAGTATGTCGATTACATAAATCTCTCTATGGACTCAAGCAAGCTCCTCGGTGTTGGTTCGCAAAACTCACAACAACTCTACAAGACTATGGTTTTGAGCAGTCCTACTCCGACTACTCTTTGTTTACTATGACAGAAGCTAATGGTGATTTGCGTCTCCATCTTTTAGTCTATGTTGATGCATGATTTGATAATATCGGGCAGCTCATTGGAAATTATGGAAGAGTTTAAAAAGTATTTGAGCTCTTGCTTTCATATGAAGGATCTTGGCGTGTTGAAATATTTTTTGGGAATTGAGGTGGCTCGTAACTCTTCGGGAATGTACTTATGCCAGCGCAAGTATACTCTTGATATAATCTCGGAGACAGGGCTTCTTGGAGCTAGACCGGCTACCCATCCAATTGAACAAAATCATCAACTAGCTTTGGCTACGGGTGATTATATTACGGATCCTCTTCGATATCGACGCTTGGTGGGTCGACTTATCTATCTTGGGGTCACGCGACCTGACATATCTTATGCTATCCATACATTATCTCAATTTATGCATGCCCCAAAGGTGGAACATTGGGAGGCTGCGGTTCGCGTGGTCCGCTACTTGAAAAGTAATCCTGGACAAGGAATACTTCTTCACGCAGATTCTGATCTTTCTCTTGTTGCTTGGTGTGATGCTGACCATTCGAGTTGTCTCATGACACGTCGTTCTCTTACGGCTTGGTTTATACAACTTGGTGGTTCTCCGATTTCGTGGAAAACAAGAAAACAGGAGACCGTTGCGAGATCTTCAGCGGAGGCTGAATATCGGTCTATGGCCGATACTGTTAGTGAAATATTGTGGTTGCGTGAGCTACTGACTACATTGGGCGTAGATTGTTCTGCTCCTATTCCGCTGTTTTGTGATAATCAATCGGCTATTTACCTTAGTCTCAACCCGGTGTTTCATGAACGTACGAAGCATGTTGCACGAGATTGTCATTTCATACGTGATGAAATTGTTCGTGGTGTTGTCGTTCCTAAACATGTTCCGACTGAGTTGCAACTTGCGGATATTTTCACAAAGGCTCTTGGGCGTAAAGAGTTTGACGCATTCATTCTCAAGTTGGGTATTTGTGACCTCCATACTCCAACTTGAGGGGGGGGTATTGGGGAATATATGGACTCATGTGTAATTAACATACTCTTAAGTTATAGTTTGTAATATTAGACTTTGTATTAGGTTAACTCATGTGTATATAAGGCAAAGCCTTAAGATGATTATCGATAAGAAACCTTTAATACCAAACTAGGTCTTCTTGACATATACATCTAGCATTCTAACAAAATAATTTCACCTATAGCAGTCACTGCAGCTACGAAAACATTTTACTGATCAACCATTGTTTCTACCAAAAAATATAAACCCGTAAATAACCCTATTTTAAATCAATTTCTTATTTAACATGATGCCATCATTCTTGATATCTTGTTAAGGAACAACTAACAATAGCAATAGACCATTGCTTCCATTTTGGATGATTTGATCTATGTCGTTTGATTATATAACAAGTGCTTTTTACGTAGATATCTAATTCATCTGAAAGTTAATTTTAGAGAAGCTTGCTCCTATATATCTTCTATCTATTATGGATGCGTGATTTTTTATGTGGTCGCAAGTGAACAACAAAGAGTATCGTCTTTGTGAATTAATGCAATTCTGATTATGAATTCGACTAATGGGGAGTGACAGAATCATACAACATCACAATGTTCAAATGACCTTGGGACAAGAAAAGTTGTCCATCCGATAGTTCTCCTATTTTCAAGTAAGAAAACATACGATTGGAAAAGTGTTTTTGTAGACGGGGTAGGTCGAACAAGAAGCGGTCTACAACCCGCTACGCATTATCTTAAGTGAAAAATTGTTCGAAAGGAAAGGATTCGTGGAAGGTCCAAGATTGGTAATTTTAACCTTATCGACCAACTCTTTAGATGTCTAAAGGTACTTCTCCATGGGTAATAAGGTTTCTTGATTTGAAGAAGTGTAAATTTCGAAAATACCTTCCTTTTAGGACTTTCGTCAACAAAGATGGCTTCTTCATTACAAGCCTGATCATTTTGTTCCATTGATGTATAATTACTACGTTCTAAAAGAGTGTTGCTCCATTTCCGTTTATAGAAGGAAATAAATCCGAGAATATTCTTTTGAGGTTAAGAAAATCAACTGAAAATTATTTAACAAATGACTGAAATTTTCACTAAAGAAATCGACTATACAGTTGCAATGTAACGATCGTAGTAATTTTACATTAATCAAAACGTAATCTCACAATTTAATACATAAACTTTCAATATTACCTACAAAGACAAAAGTTCAAGACACTATGAACCAACCTTGATTAAGAATTTTATTTGTAGCAAACGATATAATTGTTTGATAATTATGCATATGTGACTATGTGAGAGTGATAAAACTGTTGGTTTTATACCACAAATAACATCATCTGCTAAAGAGATTAGACCGATGATTATAGCGGCTCAGGCTTCTTCTTGGACACTGAACGATCTTGTATGTCCTCATAAACAGTTTCGGAAACTTAAATTCCACAGGACATTAAGGATCGATCAACCTCTACGAAGAAACCCTCAACCGCCATAATCTTCTGTCTACTCTTCATGGCGCAGCTGAAGTTATTGGTGGAATTAAAGCCAACAGTCTCACCTCTTACATATGCGGCTCATCAAAATCGAATCCACAAGAAACTATGGTTTGCGTAGAGACGAGAGGTAAACAATGATCTCTTTACTTCAAGGTCATTGCCATTAAATAATCCTTTCTCTTTGTTCTGTTTCCTATACAATCACAATGGTTACATGCCTTACCAATTCTTGAGACTGTACCCATTCATGCGTTTCAAGTGTAGATAAAAGAAACTACACATAAATGTTGCATCAAGACTGATTTACGCAAAATAATCATTCATCGAACTCTCTTAAGCGTCATTTTGGAAATTACACTTTGAAACGAATAAGGCATTAGCGAATAGAAACTACCAACCAGGCTTTTACAACAAAACTGCTTTCTTTTTGGGTTCAAGAATCGGAGGGTCAATGTCTATGCCCATGTTCGCTGCAGTTCCTGCAATGATTCTCATAGCGGATTCAATGGTCGTGCAGTTCAGGTCGGGCAGCTTCTCTGCTGCAATTGTGCGCAGCTGGTCTATTGTTATCACCCCAACTTTATCTTGCTGTGGATCTTTTGATCCCTTATCAACACCTATTTCCACAACAAATGTCAAACATCACAAAACTCCCACGAACAGACAAGAAAATAACAGTGTAGATGCCAGTGCCACAACTCATACCATTATGTCATCGAATCTATATCCAGAAAACTACATCACAAAACATATGATTTTCTTGCCAATTATTCTATCTTTGAGTAAATGATTTATATGGAGAAGAAAGTGTAAAGAGTGTAGATGGCACAATTGATTTATGTTGAGAAGACAACATCACAAAACATAAGGTATGAATGATTTTGTTCTTCTACCACGCTACAAATTTGAATTTCTAACAAAAATCAAGTAATGTGATCTAACAAAACTCAAGCAAGATAAGATTGAAGCAAGTGCCTTATGATGACCATTTCTATAGAGGCAAACCTATTATCAAAATGCACATTCATTCGTTAAAGTACTCATCCGGGTTCGACAAAAGAATACCTGCAGCCTTAAGCAACAAAACCGAAGCAGGCGGGGTCTTGAGGATAAACGTGAAGCTCTTATCCTGCAAACACACAAACAAACTCCATAAAACAATCTCATAAAGCTATAACTCGAAACACATCACCATTCAAAAGCCCCTCTATCACAAGTTATAAATAGATACCAAATACACATAAACACATTGCAAAACCAAGTTTTGATGACAAATTACCACCACAAGTGTTACTCTTCTCTAGCTTAATCAAACCACAATCAAAATTTATAGTT